AGAAGTGATAAATTCTATTTTAAATTGTTTTAATGTGTTTTAGATATAAGAAAATATCGTGCAGATTGAAGAAATATTTTTTTTGAATAATGATGATATGGATACGAAATACTTCGAAAGAGAAAAAGAAATTTTTTTTTGATATTAAATTAAAATATTAGAGTGTAAAAAAAGGTAGGAGAATTTAAGAAGTTTAAAAAAAAAGAAAGAATTTGACTGAAAATAGTGGTTAATGATGCTTACTACCTTAAGGTACTACCTATCAAATTTGTATTTTGTTTATTTTTCATCTGGATAGGCACTACCAAATATATTTATAATATATATTTGAAAAATCGTGATTTTTGAAAAGCCTCTGTGACTTAGTCGGCAAGAGCTTCGCTTACTTATCCCATACCATAGTCATGGGTTCGAATCCCGGGAATGGTCATCTTTTTTTTCTTAATCTAACTTGTTGGTTCTATCCTTAGGGGGGGGGGTGATATATAGGAGGCCGGACTCGACCACGTGATTCCGTTATAATATAAATAATAAAGATCTTATTATATTTTAATAAATTTTGATCGGTATTTAGCAAATTAGGTTGGTATTTAGAATTTTTCCATACATTCACTTGGTATATATATAATGGTGAAATAAAAAGTATGTTAATTGATTGTTTTTTTTAAACAAGTAGTGCTAGAATTAGGATAATCATATTATGAGTATTAAAATTGATGATAAACATAATGGATTTGTTTGGTATAACAAGTGATAATTATGAGAATCTTAATTTTAAGTGTTGATGATAAACATAATTGATTTGTTTTTTTAACAAGTTGGGTAAAATTATGAGAATCATAACTGAGGGGATTTGAAAATTGATGATAAACATAATGGATTTGTTTTGTGTATAACAAGTGATAATTATATGAGAATCATTTTATGTTTTAAAATTGATAATAAACATAATCGATTTGTTGATGAACAAGTGACAATTATGAAAATCATAATTTTAAGTGCTGATGATAGACATAGTTGATTTGTTTTTTTTACAAGCCTGAGAGAATTATGAGAATCATAATTTTGGTGTGTTGAGAAATGAGACGTACGAAAAGATAAGTCAGTTGGTTTTCAACAACGAGAGTGAACGAAAGATGTTTTTGAACAATGGACGTGAACTGCATAAAGAAGAAAAGAAATAGATATTGTAATTTTCTTTAAATAACAGGCGTGCAAGGATTAATAAATGAAATAAAAAAGTAATACCATAAGAAGACAAGATTTTTGGGTAAAAATTTGGAGCTAAAATTTTTTTTAGATATTCAAGAGAATTTTAGATTTAAATTCAGCTGTAGACATGGTTGGCAAAGGATGTGGATTGATAGCTAAAGGACGATTACCTGCAAATGGCTCAAGGAAGATATAGGTCTGGACTCCATTGAGGGTAAAGGGGTGATAGAATTTGACATAATGGTAAAATTTATTTAGTATATTTTGACTATGTATTATAATTTTAAGATTTATTTTAGAGAAAAAAGTGAGAAAATCAATTTAAGCTATTTAATAGATTATGTAAGGAAGAATTAGATTAGAGACGATAACCTTATACATTAAACAAAGTGGGCATATTATATATATTATTGATATATTGTATTTTGAGAATGAATGTAAGAAAAAGTATAAGAAAGTGATAAAATATTTCAGAAGTTAAAGGGGTAAATAGATTATTTTAGGTATTAGATGCGATTACCCGAGACTTTAAGACAAAGATCAAATGAGAATAAAGATATCCTAAGACAAAGTCGATATCCGGGTAAGTGCAAATTGTCGTAGAAGACTCGGAAATCTAAAGATACAGTTACAAGAATTAGATTAAAGGAGCTAAACAATTACAAGAGAACGTTGGAAACAAGAGACTAGATTGAACAGATGTTCAAGACGTTCACGCTGCAATCGTTAATCGCTTACTAATATCGCCAATTGTTGACGGAAACCTAAGTCTAAGATACGAAAGTTGACGATCATAGAAACCAGAATTCTTGGAATCAATTGTTAATAGCAGACAAATTATCTCAAACGTTTACATAGATAAAGAGTCAATCGGTTAATACAAAAGAACGTTAGAAATAGGCGACTAGCAAGAACAACTGGTCAATACTTTCAAGCTACAATCGTTAACAAAAGTTATCAATCGGTTACTGAAATAAAGCGATAACCTTACTACCAAAAAACGTTAGAAACAAGCAAAAACTAGAATAATTTATCTAGAGAATTAAAACGGGCGTTAGAAGAGACAAAGATTGTAAAGAAATAATAGTATCAATCAATAATTGGTAACTAGCCATCGGGAATCGCAAAAACATGCGTTATGGAGTTCATAAGTGGCCTACAGTGATAGCTAATCGTTTATCAGAGTTGACAAGCAACAGAAGATAGAAATCAAGAATTTCAAGCTGTAATTGAATACGAAAAACTAATATACTAGACAAAGGACAGCCGTGGTTAGAAATTAGAAAACATTAAAGATTAAGAAGAATAGATTTGGTGAAGATACAAGATCAGTAAAGTCGAAATCGAAAGAAATTTGGTCATTCGCAGAATGATGGGATCTAACTTAAGTGAAAGGGTGTTGTGATTGCATTATTTTGATTTGCACTTGTTTAAAATCTTGTGTATATAAATTTGAATATTTACGGAAAATAGTTTTTTTATATATAAAATTGAATATTTAGAGTTCATGTAAAATTTGAATATTTATATTGTTAATAATGAGTATTATATTATAGAAAGAAAAGATATTTGGATGATTTAAATTTGATTATAATAAAACGAAATTTATGTTATAATTGAATGATATTAATTTTATATAAAAGGCACAATTTTTGTAATTTAAAAGACTTTTTTAATTTTTTTACTTTTACATATAATTTTATTTTTTATACTTTTTCTTATATTAATTTTTATTTTTCTTTTATTTTTGGTTATGTTTTTACTTTATATTTAATTATAATTAATTATTAATAATTAATAAAGATTTAAATTTTATAGTTAAGTATTTAATTATATTTCTTTATATTTATATTTTATTTTTTAGGTTCAATTTTTCATTTGACACGAATAATAAATAAAGTCAATGTATGGTTTATCACTTTTATTTATTTTTTGAGTTAATTGAATTTCTTACACGATATTATTTATACATCTATTTTCTAGACCATAAAATATTGGGCAATTACCTTCGTTAATATATCTTTGTAACTTTTTATCGATTCAGAAAATGCGTATAAAAAGAAAATATATGGCTTTTATTTCTTGCTAATAAATCAATTGGCTTAAGTCTATCATCTCCCTTGAAATTATCAAATTTTTAATATGATTGGTTCTAATAAACATTTTATATGATGATCTAATAAATCTTTAATGTTCCAAAGAAAATAATTTCAATATAAAAAAATGAAATAATTGTAGCAGTGACCGTAGGCAGTTCGACCATCGGGATGGGAGAAGGATTTTTTGAGCCCGATGGTTTGGGATTTCCGGAGAGGATGACTGGGGGACCAGATTTTTTGGGCATTTTGGTCAGCGATCTATCTATACACTATAAAAAAAGAAAAGGGTAAGCACTAGTAAAGGAGTAATTTATTGTAATATTTTATATATTATGTGTTTATTTGTCATTTACTAATGATTATGTATATGTATATGGATATTTTATTATATGTTTTATAAAGTATGATGAGTATTGTACGATAAACTTCCTAATATTTTATACATACATTATATCCATACATATATATATTTCCTTGTGAAAATGGAGGAATAAAATGTCGGAAGCTAAAATGCATAATTGGCGACGGAGGAAAAAGAAAAGAACATAAAATGTGAAGCCATTGGGTTTTATCAAAATAACTATGGAAAAATTATTGAAAAATATCATTTCAATGGATAATAAACTATGGTATTATTTGGAAAATACATTAATGGTTATTATTATGCAATCTTATCTTGAAATATGAATTATGAAAAACAATAATTGATTATACTATGAAATTCCAGAAGAATGAATGCACACATTTATTAAAAATGACAAGGATAAAATTATGAAAATGTAGAGATCTGTTGATAATAATTTAACAATCATTTGGATGTAAATGATGATATGGTATAATCTCTTACTTATAAAAATATGGTTTGTGAATTCTGTTGATAATAATTTAACAATCATTTGGATGTATATGATAATATGGTATAATCTATTACTTATGAAAATATGATGGTACAATCTTTTACTTATGGAAATTTGGATATTGATTACTCTTTGTAAAATGTATATTATTGGAACAATTATATGGGAAAACATGGAGATTGGTTTATGGATTATGGAATTTGGACATTGAGAAAAGTGTTACTGATAGAACCTGGCTTTTTTTGACATTGTGAAAATGGATACTGATAAATATACCTGACTAATTAAGATATGAGGATGTTGGGCTTTCAAATCACGTGACCTATGCAAAACTATTGGGGCTTCCGTGAGCCAGATGTAGCTGTATTTGGGTTAAGGAACTACTTCTTATACGATGTAGGGATTTGGATTACCTCATGAGCCATCCAAGGATGATAGCGATAGCTTGGCCAGCTCTAAGATAATGGTGACCTCGTGGGCCATTCAAAGATGATAGCGATCTCTTGGCCAGTTCTAGAATAATGATAACCTTGTGAGTTTTTCAAATACGTTGTATACCAATCTACCATGGAGTCGATAGCGATACTCCGGTGGTAGATCCATCGATATTGATACTCCGGTGGGCAGTGTCTACATGGCCGGGGGGGTAGGAGACAAATGCCTCCAAAAAATATTGGCATTTTGGGGGGTAGGTATTAATTTTGGGGGGTAGATATTGATTTTTGGGGGGTAGGCATTTGTTTTTGGGGGGTAGGTATTGATTTTTGGAGGGTAATTTTTGACTTGTATTATGATATTTTTAAATCCAATAATCGATATGATTATCGTTGATTTTCTGAAAAATGTCAATTAAAGAAAAGATATCTGTCAATTTATAAATATTATACACTATATTTATTTTTTTAAATTTTTAGAAAATTCATTTACATAATGGGATTTAGATTTTCACAGTATCAATTTTAAATTATCAATATATATTTTTTTATAATAAGGACCTTTTGAATAAAGAATCCCTTTTATGATAAGATAATCCTACTCAATTAACAATATAAAGAAACATTTTTGGATTTTAAAAAGGTAATTTTTTAAGCATATAATTGCATTTTCCTTAATTTGATGATAGATAAATAAATATAATAAAGAATGAAGCTATTTTTATTTAATCTTAATATGTATACTTAATAAGTTATCTGGGTTTTGAACCATGGCAATTATTTTTGCTAATAATTTTTTAAATAATCATTTTCAATGGGGTAAATATATATTACCACATTTTTGTGAGGCAATCAGGTTGGACCCATAATTGATTTCTATTTATGATAAATGATTCTTTGAGGTAAGTGTAAATTATATACAAAATTATAAGTGAGAGGTGAAAACCATTGTGTGATAAAAAATTTGTTAAAAGAATTGATAAATTTTTTATTTCATTATTAGATAAATTTTATATAACATCAAATTTTCCATAATATATTTGGCCTTTTTTCTAAATATTTATAGAAATCTTGGGAGAATGAACAGATAATCTATTCCTCTCATTTGATTATTGATTTAAGAAAAGATTTCAATTAAATGAATTGACAAAGTGATTCCATATACTGAAATATTGTTTATTTTTGTTAACAATAAATTAAATTTTTGGATATGGCTTGGGAATAATCTTTGAAACCTATGATGTGGTTTGGGTTTGGATTTCCATTAAACATGAACTGGGCCTGAAAATTATTTTTACTTATGACCTAGGCTGGATGAAGAAATCAATGCCAGTGAAGGTCTCTAATTTCAATGATTAAAAAAATATATCATTTCTCAGACTTTATTTGAAGATAAATGAATGGGCAAATCACAAATATGCCTGTTTTCAATTATTTGCAAAATTTATTAGGATTGTTAATTTAAAGAAACTATGATTTCAAAGCATCATACATTTCTAAAAATTGTTGGACACTAAGAAATAAAGAAATCAATTGTGAAGTGTATAATGGAGGAAATATTGATCCATGATTGTTTTGGCATAAATAACAAAAAATATTATATTTTTTGTGACCATGCATTAAGCTTACATATAATATAATAGGAATCTTTTAAGAAAACATTATCAAAAATATAAGTTAATAGCTGATAGTCCATTATGAATGACTGGTAATCAGAATTTTCTTCTTTATTCAATGATGGGTGCATAATAAATTTCCTTTATATGATGATGATTGAATCAGTAAATTTTTCATTATTTTTATAAAATATGTTAATAGAGTGTATATTTATGAATTTTAATTTAAAAACAATAAGGGTCTAGAATATATTTTTTTGATTATAAATTACAAATATACAAATGAATAAGAATTTATTTTAAAAGATTTTAATATATTTTTTAGATTAAAAATATAATACAAATGAATAAAAATTTATTGTGCACATATATTAAAATATCTAAATATATATTTCTTTAATATATTTTGTAAAACCACTGGAAAATTTTAAAATTACACCCTCATTTAAACAAATATAAATTTAATTTCTGAATCACACCTCATAAGATAGGAGAATTTTAAGATTCAGCCATCCACCGTCAAATAAAGGATAAAATTATGATTCTCCATCATTCTTGATGGCCATCAGTGAGTAAAAAAATATTATCTAAATATTTATTTCATTTTTATTCTAGATGCCAAGTAACAAAACAATATATAAAGTCAAATGTGACTATATTAATTGTAAAACTTCTAAAATAAGAAGTGACAAAATAAATAACCATTATAAACATAAACATCCTCATGTCAAGTTATCTGATATCAAATTTACAAAGATAGCTATCAAAAAGGATAATAATTGGGTATCCTTAAATAAAGATATTCCATTCATTCAATATCACAAATGGGGTTGAAACCAAGTTACAAAAAAAATCAATAACATCTTACTTCCAAAAAGTAATTTTTTATATATATTATTTTAATTCATGACAATAAATATAAGTAAAAATAACCTTAAATTTTGTGAATTAGTAGAAACCAATTCTTCATCTATAATTTGAGCATAATACTTTTAATTTTTATTAAAGATAAGATTTTTAATATATAGGTACATTTTTATTATGCCCTTTATCAATTTTGAAGGAAATAAATTATAAGAATATTTAAATATTTCAACTTTTGTTAAAAAAAAATTTATATATTATAATTAAGAATAAAATAAGTCATTTGCCTAAAATTTTCACTACTCTTTATTTAATAATTAGCACAAATCTTTTATTGAAGATTCCCAAATTATATTATCTCATACAATGCCCAGTTCCAGTGATCTGCTGATTTTGAATAATGAGGTACTTAATTTAAATAAGATTTGTTTTATAATTTTGAAGGGAATAAATGAGGATATTCAGATATTTTCATGAACAACAAATTTTAATTAATCTTTATTTAATAATTAGCTCAAATCTTTTACTGAAGATTCCCAAATTATATTATCTCATACAATGCCCAGTTCCAGTGATCTGGTGATTTTGAATGATGAGGTACTTAATTTAAATAAGATTTGTTTGATAATTCTGAAGTGAATAAATTATGAAATATTTTCCACTTTTCTATATCTTAATTAAGAATAAAATTTTTATTAAAATTAAGATTTTCATAAGTAAACAAATTTTAACCACTCTTTATTTAATAATTAGCATGAATCTTTTATTGAAGATTCCCAAATTATATTATCTTCTCATACAATGCCCAGTTCCAGTGATCTGCTGATTTTGAATAATGAGGTACTTAATTTAAATAAGATTTCTTTTATAATTTTGAAGGGAATAAATGAGGATATTCAGATATTTTCATGAATAAACAAATTTTAATTATTCTTTATTTAATAAGTAGCACAAATCTTTTACTGAAGATTCCCAAATTATATTATCTCATACAATGCCCAGTTCCAGTGATCTGGATCTGGTGATTTTGAATGATGAGGTACTTAATTTAAATAAGATTTGTTTGATAATTCTGAAGTGAATAAATTATGAAATATTTTCCACTTTTCTATATCTTAATTAAGAATAAAATTTTTATTAAAATTAAGATTTTCATAAGTAAACAAATTTTAACCACTCTTTATTTAATAATTAGCATGAATCTTTTATTGAAGATTCCCAAATTATATTATCTTCTCATACAATGCCCAGTTCCAGTGATCTGCTGATTTTGAATAATGAGGTACTTAATTTAAATAAGATTTCTTTTATAATTTTGAAGGGAATAAATGAGGATATTCAGATATTTTCATGAATAAACAAATTTTAATTATTCTTTATTTAATAATTAGCACAAATCTTTTACTGAAGATTCCCAAATTATATTATCTTCTCATACAATGCCCAGTTCCAGTGATCTGCTGATTTTGAATGATGAGGTATTTAATTTAAATAAAACTATACACTCTTTAATAATAATTAGCAAACACACAAAGTTATTGAAAATTCTCCCCAATTATATCTTTTTTTCATCCAATTATCAATCCCAATGCAAGCCAAAATATTTCAAACATTAAAGGCCCAAATATTATTCAATTATATAAAAAAAAGGAGCCTAATGACCCTTTTCATTTCATATTCTTTAGAATGACAAATATCTTGATTAATTTCATAATTTCCATAGGCCCATGTCAGCCATGTTCAAATATATTTCAATATCCTGTTACTCACAAAAGGTTTTTAAAAAATTTAATTTTTATTAATTTTTACGCATCCATTATTTCTACTTTTAAATAGGAGCATGAATATATCCTATTATAAAAAGGTTAATATTGATGGTTCCCTCAAACCAAGAAATTGGTTATCCTATAGCACCACTTTAGACAAAGTCTTTTGTCTTTATTGTCTTATGTTTGGTGGCCCTAAATCCAATACTTTTTGGACTCAACTTGGAGTAAATAATTGGAAAAATTTTAAGCGTGACTTAGAGAGACATGAGTCATCTTCTATTCATAAGGATTGTGAATACACCAACATGACTCTTGGCTTGCAAATAAGCGTATTCAAGATCATTTTCTATCAAATAGGCTTGATATAATAATGGAAAATCGTAATATAGTTCATAATATTATTGATGCCATTATATACCTTATAAAATGTAACATAGCCTTTTGGGGCACTAATTCGAATGAAGGTAATTTTATGTGCCTCATAAAATTAATGGCAAAAACGGTTCCAACTTTACGGGCATACATTGATAACAACGAAAAATTGAGGAGAAAAAAATCAGATAAAATTTCAAGACCTTATATAAATTTATTGTCATATGGCCATGTGAAAAAAATTATTGAAGTCATTAAGATAAAAATAATAAAATGTATTATTCAAAAAATTAAAGAGAATTGTGCCTATAGCATCATATTAGATGGAACATATGATGTGTCTAAAAAAGAATGCATTGCTTTACTTGTAAGATATATAGAAGATGATCCGCATCCACATCCTGTAGAAAGGATCATCCATGTTTTTACAACATCAGAAACCACCGGGGAAAATATAAAGAAACATGTTTTTTCTTTCTAAGTTCAAAGATCTTGGTCTTCCTCTTGATTATATGGTTGGGCAAAGTATGGATGGTGCAGGGAATATGAGAGGAGTATACAAAGGAATGCAGGCTTTAATATTGAAAGAGGCTCCAAAAGCCATATATATTTGGTGCCATGCACATAGGCTCAATTTAGTAGTTGCTCATGTTTGTGGATGCAAAATAGAAATGAAAAAGGTAATGGGAATATTGGATGAGTTATATAATTTCATGAATGGGGTAAGACGTCAAGGAGTGTTTGTTAAATATCAAATGACAAAGTCTAAAAAATCTCTTAAAAGAATAAAAAATACAACAAGGTAAATATAATATTTTTAATGTAACTTATCTTTTTTTAGAAATTGGTCATCATCTTATAAAGCTGTAGAAATTTTTTTAGATGTTTATGAACATATTATAGCATCATTAAATGAATTAAAAGATTCTAATGACCCAAGCACCTCTTCTATTGCCGATGGATTATTAACAAGAATTAAGGATGAAGATTTCATATTAAGTCTATTTTTTTATTTTGAAAGAAATATTGAAATGCACACATGAGGCTTGTATTGAAATGCAGGCAGTTGGTAATGATTTGGCTATGGTAACTAAATTAATACAACACACAAAAAATAAATTACAAAGACTAAGAGGTTAAAATTAGTTACGATTTCTATAAATAATTTTAAAATGTAGCTAATGGGGATAATATTTTTTTAAAATTGCATTCCTTATCTAACAGTTATTTGAAAAAGAATAATGTTACAACGGAATTGCATAATATAAAATCAATATTCAAATTTGATCAAACAGCATTCAATAATTATGTTAAACAAAAAAAAACAAGTTGAATAAAAAAAGATTTAAAATTATTATTTAGCATTATAGATATAAAAGGGAAATATTTTTCCCTGTGCTTGATACAATCATTAATGATTTAAATGAAAGATTTAATTATGATTGTTTAAATTTTTTATCTCAAATATCTCTTTTTACACCAGCTGGAATTATAGCCAATGATAGAATAGAAGGGTGGCAAATATCTCAAATTTGTCATAACTTACCAATTAAATGCTCAAGATATTGCTCGTGAATATAATGATTTTCGATCTTTATATTTGGATTCACAAGCAATCATTTATTGCAAGGATCTTTTGAAAATAAAAAAGAATGATGGGTTATATATTGATGAAAGTAATTTATTGATATTTTATTTAAAATTATATATAATTAAAGGTATTGTAAACGATGAAACCGAGGAAGATATCAATAACGATAACATAATTAATACAAAAAAATGGATAAAATATTCATTTATACTACCATATCGTCTTTTAAATAAATTAAATTCTTATTCTAATTTATATTTATTATATAAATATTTATTGACTCTACCAACTACTTCTTGTTCAGCCGAAAGAGTGATGAGCAAAGTCAAAATAAATAAAACTAGAATGCGGAATAAAATTTCTGACCCCTTTTTAGAAAATTTACTTCTAATATCCAGCGAAATTGATGTTTTTGAAAGATTTAAAATAGACGACATTATAACGCGATTTGCATCTACGTCTAAAAGATTAACTAAATTATTAATTAATAAAATAAGTTATATCTTTTTCACAGCTAATTATATACGCCTTTTTAATAATGTAAATTTAATTTAATAGTTTTTTATATCATTCTAGTCCGGTGCATAATATAATACTATATTCATTTTATTTAAATATTTTATAATAGTTATATTTACATAAATGTTTTTATAATTCCAGTGCAAAATATATTATATTCATTTTATTTTAATATTTTATATAAAACTTATATTTACATAGATGTTTTTATAATTCCAGTGCAACTATATTCATTTTTTTCTCATATTTTATATAAAAGTTATATTTACATAAAAAAATTTATATTTCCAGTGCAAAATATACTCTATTCATTTTATATTTTATATAATAGTTATATTTACATAAATGTTTTTATAATTCTTGTGCAAAATATACTATATTCTTTATTCTAATATTTTATATAAAAGTTATATTTACATAAAAATTTTTTTTATATAATAGTTATATCTATATGAATGTTTTTAATTAATATAAAGGCATTAGTATTTATAGAATCAAGCCAGCTATACCTCTTTAAAATTACTCATTTTGTTTTTTTTACTTAATATAAAGGTATTAGTAATTATAGAATCAAGCTATACCTCTTTAAAATTACTCATCTTATATTTTTTTACTAAATTTTTGATATTTTTTTATAGTAATGTAAATATGTTATCTCATTTAATACTATTATATTAATTTTTATGAAAATAAATTGATTATCAATCAAATTATGAAAAGATTGCACTACCTACTTAAATATAAGTTAATTGAAAACGGATAGTAACAATAGTTATCAGTTTGTAAATTTTTTTTTCCAAAGCAGGTCTGAATGTTTGTAAGGGTATAAATAGTGACTTAATATAAGATTTTCTTGATTAAGGCAAATATCGCGGCCGAAGGCCGCGAAATTTTTTAGGGGGTAGGGGTAGATTTGGGATGGGGGTTGCCTCCATCAAATTTTCTGCCATGTAGACGCTGCCGGTGGGAGATCAAAGCACAACAAACTCTATAGCGATACTCCGGTGGTAGATCCATCGATATTGATTCTCCGGTGGGAGATCAATCTACAAGAGAAACGATATTGATACTCAAGGTGAGATCAATCAACAAGGAAAACGATATTGATACTCTAGGTGTGATCAATCTACAAGGGAAACGATATTGATACTCTAGGTGAGATCAATCAACAAAAAAAACGATATTGATACTCTAGGCGAGATTAATCTTACCAAGGCAGCAGTAAATGGAGACCAAAGACTAGGATGTCTTAGGAGAAATTTTAAGTTGTGTTTCCTTTCAATTAATGAAGGGGAAATGTAGTAAAGGAGTAATTTATTGTACAGTTACTAATGATTATATATATGGATATTTTATTATATATTTTATAATGTATGATGAGTATAATAATTATGTACGATAAACTTTCTAATATTTTATGTATACTTTTTATCAATATATTTCCTATTGTGAAAATGGAGGAATAAAATGTCGGAAGCTAAAATGCATAAAGTACCATCGGTACTTTATTATAAGGCGACTACAGACGGTTAGTGCATAAATAACCGTTACAGCAACTTTAGCACCGCTGGATTAGGGCGGATTTAAGTCCAAAATTTAATAATAAATAAGGAACAGGACATTCCTCATCTCTTTCTAACAGGATATGTTAAATTGGGTGAAAAATTAAATGAAGAGTCTTTTTGTGGTCCAGTCTCATGTGATTATACACCATACAATCCGATAAACTATCTATAAATTCTATAGTTTGAGATAAAAAGAGTTGGGCATAGTTGCAGGGCAAGGGCTTATTTTAGATGTCTTTGCTTAAATTATAGTTGAAGTTAATCGTATGAATAAAATAAATATTAATTATACTCCCAGACACATTTGAATGAATATAACTTATCACAAATTTATATTATTTACATTATTTTTGTCAATATTTATTTTCATAATTTTTGTCAATATTTATTTTTATAAATTTTACATACTATTTAGATCAATTGTCATTGATTTAGATAGTGAATTTAATGTTTCAAAATGGACGGTAAATATATTTATATATATATATATCATATCAAATCCTATCATATCATATCTCCTATATTTTAAATTATGCATATTATTTTACGTGATACGTGATAAAAGCGTGCCTTCTGTTGAGGCAACAGAGCTACGCTAAAGGGATGGGGTGGGGATTTTAAATTGCTATATTTTATGTTTTCAGCACAGTTTATTGATTTAAAGTTTTGAAAAAGTGTCCTCTATTCATAATATTTATAATATGGATAAATTGAGAAGGAATTTATTTGAGGTATACCAATTTAATCTTAACTAATTGATTTTCCACCCAACATATCTTCTAGTTTAATTAAAAGTCCAAAAATATTTTACTTATAAATACAAATTGTAAAGACTACAGCATATCTATATACAATCTTTCAATTTATATTTTGAATATTCAATGGGAAACCTGAACAAAGTTTAAATTGATTTACTATGCATTTTATTATACACATTTTTAGATACTGCTAATAGCTATAGGAAATCATAAGCATATTATATAATCAAAGTTGAGGACAAGAATAAATAATAAACAAAAGTTTTAGAACATGAAACAACTTATGACATGTCCTTTAAAAAAATGAACATTAATTTATAATATGTTTGGATGATTATTGTTTTAATAAATAAAATTGAATTGTATGTTTTGTATAGGATTTGATAAATCAATACTTTTTTAATTTTTAAATAATAAAATTTTGACTAATGATGCAATGTAAATTTGAATTTTTTTAAGTATGATATATATATATATTTGACTCAATATCTTATGCTATTATATAGAATTTATAGTTCATGTATTTAGAGCAAAATAAAACTATGTTATTATTTAAAAATATTTGTAATGTACATATTTATAACCTGGATAAATATTTTATAATTATAAGTATTTATATTATATTGGGATATAGAATCCATGATGATTTTTAAATTTGTAGAATTAGTTTGAGCATATGTTGATTACCCATAATTAATTTAATACAATTATGTCTTAAACTTTGAATCACACTTAACTTATTTTTATGTGGATTTTTCATATTAAAATGGTTAATATACTAAATATTATGGCAAAAACTATCTGAAAAGTATTTCATGTGCAGGAAGACATTTCTGGTCAAATAAGATTGTCCAAAAATTACCCTCAATAAATTATATAAAATTGAGGGATTTCAAATTCCCATGGAATCCATAATGCAAAGATGCTAAAATTTTAGGGCATTTATTAATTTTTTTAATATAAAAAATTATTTTTAAAGCCTTTTTTAAGACTAACTATAATAACTCTTATGATATATATTGTTATCAGTAAGATAACAATTAGTTTTAAAAAAATTATAATCTTCCAAAAATATATTTTGATAAGTAAAACTCAAAATAATTAGTTTCATATCAGCCTTATTCAAAATCATATTTACATATTTAAAAAAAATTTAATCTCATAATTCATAAAACATATTTAAAAAATTGGTTTATGAAATGATTGCCCAATCCGATCTTTCCTTTAAAAGGCTGGTATAGACCCCAATTTGATGCCTATATTAATATTGAGGTTGCCTTATTTTAAATAATTTGATTTTTCCTTTTTTTGTACCCAGGCTGATTTACATCACAAACAATTTGATATCCTGCCTATCATCTATTATTTTCATATATTTGTATATGAAATAAAATTCTCAAGAATAATATAATTTTCATTGTGCTATTTTTTCAGAAGCGATATCTTGCTCAAATTTCACATAAAAGCATATTTAATTTTATTCTAAAATCGTTATCTTATTTAAATTGATTTAAATTTGTATTTTAAAAAAAACATGTATTAAAAATCTAGTTTTCAAAATATTAAAATTTTTTAAATATCGACGATGGGAATTGATAATGAGATAATTTTGGTACAGGTAATATCGACCAAGTAACTTCCCTTGAAAATGATAATATGGAATATCCTTTTCCTAAATTTGCAAAATATTTTAATCATAATAAAAAAGATCAACACAGGGTAAAAATTTCGTTGTAAGATGTGCCAGAAGGTTTTATCATCAAACAAGACTAGTAGCTTCAGCTGAGAAACCATTTAAAAGTTATACATTAAGTTTTTAATTTCATTATGTAAGCCAATCCTTATAATAAAATTTGAATCAACTGTATATATAATAGATTTTGAGGTAGATGAGTTTTGTGAAAGTTAAATTTCTGGCCTAGTCCAAACATGGTATATTTCAACTGGCCATAGATATTATCTAAGAATTGTATGATAAATTATAAATTACTGTAAATAATATAACATCTCATTTTATCATCAGTCTCATCTATTTAAAGTTAATATTTATAAATTATAATTATTTAATCTAGATATTATATAATTGTTCACCCTTTTCAAATTGAATTGGCCATATATTAATTTGACTAAATTCTAAAGGACAATTTGATTGACTATTGTTAACACTATACCAACACAAGATACCTTAACCAGATAAAAAACGTCACTTACAAGAAATGATATTTTTAGAAGCATTTTTTAAATCTAAAAATGCTCAATGGTGATTATTTTTAATGTAATACTCTACTGCCATCAAATACTAGTGTTGAACGATTATATAGTATTGCAAAGCTTATATTTCCCTATTTTGCTCTAGACTTGGGCAGGACAATATAGAAATATTATTATTGAAATGCAATAAAAAAATTAATAAAGTATATTGAAATTATAGTCATATTTTTATACTATTTCCATATCCATCCCAAATGGCGAAGATTTTCCGGTGTAACGTGAGTAATTAACTCCCCTTATCACATACCTCTGAGTTAAGTAATAACTATGATAGATTAACTCCCCCTTTGATAAATAGTGTTAAGGAAGTTGATTAGTAACAAAGATATTAATTACAATGTAAATTGATAGGGAGAGTTATATGATCATGCAGTTTTTTTTAATATTGCTGAAATTCTTCTAAATTTAATTTTTGATATTTGATTTTCGAATTTAAATTTTGAATCGAATTTTAATTTTTGAAATTAGACATCCTTTTCAAAGAGTAACTTGTTCATGTAAAAAGTAAAAAATTTTATTATTTAATATAAAAATATTAAATAGTGAATCTCGATGTTATCAATGATATTTATGGGTGTAACTAAACTGAGAATTAACAGGTAAAATTTATTTATGGCCTATCAATTATATTTTAAAAACTTAAAAAAAAAGGTTTTAATTATAAAAATCAAATTTATCCAAAATTAAAATTATCTAAATATATAAATTAGAATAGAAAAGATATTGTAGTCCATAAATTTATAATATGTATAACATATCTATTATATAGAAAATAAAACACCCATAATATTTTATATATCATAAATAAAATTCCGCTAGATGGCGTATATTATTAAAATGTTAGTTTTTTATTAAAAATAATATGAATTATAGGAGCATAATTCTTCGCTCTGAATTAATTGATTTGGTACCAACTTATATAAACATAAAATGAAAAATTTTTAAGATCCCATCATTATTTATGGAGTTATAATGTCTCAGTTTAGTCAGTTTTTTTTTAAGAGTTTTGGATTTTAAAAAATATTTTATTTTTTTTGACTCATTTGGTGTAAACTTAACATATTTAAACATAAAATGAAAAATTTTTTAAGTTTCCATCATTATTTTTGGAGTTATGATGTGGATTCTCAGTTTAGTCAATTTTTTATTTTTTTTTAAAAAAAATAAAATATTTTTAATATTTTTAAAATCCCAAAAATTTAAAAAAAAATTAAAAAATTGACTAAACTGAGAGTCCACATCATAACTCCAAAATTAATGATGGAAACTTAAAAAAATTTTCATTTTATGTTTAAATAAGTTAGTTTACATCAAATGAGTCAAAAAATAAAATATTTTTAAAATCCCAAAAATTTAAAAAAAAATTAAAAAATTGACTAAACTGAGAATCCACATCATAACTCCAAAAATAATGATGGGATCAAAATTTTTCATTTTATGTTTATATAAGTTGGTACCAAATCAATTAATCCAGAGCGAAGAATTATGCTCCTATAATTCATATTATTTTTAATTAAAAACTAAAATTTTAATAATTTACGCCATCTAGCGGAATTTTATTTATGATATAGAAAATATATTATGGGTGTTATATTTTCTATATAATAGATCTGTTCTATACATATTACATTTATGGACTACAATATCTTCTATATTCTAATTTATATATTTAAATAATTTTAATTTTGGATAGATTTGATTTTTACTTTAAAAACATTTTATTTATATATTTAAAAATAATTGATAGACAATAAAATAAAAATAAATTTTACCTGTCAATTCTCAGTTTACCTGTCAATTCTCAGTTTACCTGTCAATTCTCAGTTTACCTGTCAATTCTCAGTTTACCTGTCAATTCTCAGTTTACCTGTCAATTCTCAGTTTACCTGTTAATTCTCAGTTTAGTTACACAGATATTTATAATTACCTAAACTGCAAAACCTACCCAAACTCCTATGTCGGCGATCATGGCTTAAAAAGAAACCTTAGAGTCAAATGTGCCAAGTTTTTCTTAGAGAATGACAAATTATATTATCACCTACATAATGCTGAAGTTATCTCACTCTTTAGCCAAAAACATAAAATTTTAATCTCATTCCATGGAGGATGTGAGACAAATCTCACAGAAATGTCATTATCAGGTCACTTTGGAATCAACAAGACATATGATAAACTAGTTGAAAGGTATATTTACACTATTTATAACATAATTTTATAAACTGGTTTAAGTATTATTTCTAAATTTTTATGAATATTACTGATAAATTCCACAATTTAAGCTAGGATACAGTACTCAATATAAAATTCTCTTTCAATTAATAGAATATTGTTTTAAAATATTGCTTAAATTTAGCCTGATATCACCCAAAAAGTTTGCAACACTTTTAAAATGTTAACATAATCAGGTAGTAAATATTGCTCAGTTTTAACCTGATATGACCCAAAAAGCTTGCACCACTTTTAGAAAGAATTTATAACTTTAAAAACTTATACACAAGCAGTACCAATATACTCACAGCTCTTTCATTTTATAGTTAAAATTTTTTAAATTTAACCTTTAACACATAATTTTATAAACTGGTTTAAGTATTATTTCTAAATTTTTATGACTATTACTGATAAATTCCACAATTTATAAGCTAGGATACAGTCAGTGGCGTAGCTAGGAATTTTCCTTAGAGGGGGTCCATACATATAAAAGCCTGGGGGATTCGCTTCCCAAACCTCCTTATACGGACCTTTGGCCCTTTTGCCCGGCCTTCGGTCGGGTTTATCTTACAAATCATAACCATATCTTCGGTAATATATAATAAATATATTTTTTAAATGCATCAATAATATGTTATTATAATTTAGTGGATTATTCTCAATGACTTTATAATAATAATATCCAGAATAATTTCAATAGTAATATAATATCCTTCCACAAACATCAAAACCAGAAAAATATAAATATTTGGTATTTATTTGATATAAAGTCACTTTTAAGTATTTGAACGTATAATCTAAAAAAATATTTTTGCTCTGGGAGGGGTCCAAACCTGAAAACCACCTCCGTAGCTACGCCACTGGATACAGTACTCAATATAAAATTCTCTTTCAATTAATAGAATATTGTTTTAAAATATTGCTTAAATTTAGCCTGATAGCTTGCAACACTTTTAAAATGTTAACATAATCATGTAGTAAATATTGCTCAGTTTTAACCTGATATGACCAAAAAGGCTTGCACCATTTTTAGAAAGAATTTATAACTTTAAAAACTTACACATAAAGCAGTACCAATATACTCAGCTCTTTCAATTTATAGGAAAAATTTTTTAAATTTAACCTTTAACAAATTTCTTTTAACATGCTTAAAACTTTAAAAAGTCTTTTAGATATTGGTGGCAAGGAATGCGGCAAGATGTCATTGACTTTGTAAAATCATGCGACCTATGTCAAAGATACAATTCCCGATTTGACAAAACAAGTTTGGAAATGCAGTCTATTCCTATTCCATCTAAGGTATGGACAAAAATAGGTTTAGACCTATGTTCATTGCCAGAGAGCATTGATGGGTTCAAATATATTGCTGCTGCTGTTGATTATTTTTCAAAATATATCGAAGCACAGCCTATAAAGGATAAGACAGCCCATTCAGTGACCTTCTTTTTATACTCACTGTTATGCAGGCATGGCAGACTCAAGGTTGATGAAATTTTTATAATATAATGATATTTATCATATTTATAGGTCCAAATTAATGATCAGGAACGCGAGTTTGTAAACCAAGTGAGCAATAAATATCACAAACTCGTCGGAACCCAGCAGAGAGTGACAAGTGCCTACCATCCTCAGGCTAATGGCATGGTAGAGCAAGCCAATCGTACTCTTCAAAATTCCCTTTTGAAGTGTACAAAAGTCAATCAGAAAGATTGGCCTGGAGTTCTACCTGGTATTGTATTTGCCTACAATACATCAAGGCACGAATCCTCAAAATTTACGCCATATGAGATGATGTATGGCAGGAAAGCTTTACTGCCCTGTGAGGTATGATATATATATCATTATTTGTATAAAATTATACATAATAAATTTTTATTATTTAAGGATGATAGAGAACCAGAAACAGATCTTGACGATCTTTCTGATACAGATTATGACTGCAATTTCCAAAGAAGGGCAGACAATATGAAAGGCATATTTAAGACTGCAACAAAAATATTATAAAGGCTCAGCTTAAGCAGCAACGAGATTTTAAAACTCGTAATGCTGCTAAGAATGCACTCTATCACATAAATGATAAAGTGCTTGTATGGAATAATCGTCAGGCTGACAGGAAAGGAGGGAAAATGTTGCAGCCTTGGGTAGGTCCTTATACAATTGTTAATAGTAAATTTATTATTTTTTAACAAAATATTTATACATATTTAGGCAATGTAGAATTATCTTCTTCAATAGTAAAAAATTTACATACTAAGGCTAATATAAGTAATTTAAAGCACTATATAGAGGGTAACAAAGGTATTATTTTTTAAATATATGAATATAACTTTTTTTAATGGTAAAGATACAGTCAAAAAAATTGCACATTGTGAAACTATAGAGGGTGTTCAAGATCAAGGTAATATCAGTTTTTTCATAAAATAATATTGAACAAATAATTAAGTTTGTAGGCTTCTTAAAACTATAGTTGGAGAAGGAGAAGGTAAACAAATGCATTTGGGAAAAAGGAAAATATATTTTTAATTATTATATTTTCATTAGAAGAAGCACTATTTGAAGAAATGTCCTGTGGAATAAAAGTTTCAGGAGAAAGTTTTATTTTTTAAAAATTGGAAATATTTTATTTTTGATAAATCTAAAATTCTAGGATTGGAATTTAGAAAGGAGGATACTAAAATAAAACGTGTCAAGAGAAAGGGTATAATATATAAAATTATTTAATATATTTTTTTGGATACAGATACTTTTGGTGAATATCCAATAATAGCTATTAAAAGTATAGTGAGAGAGGAAGGATATATAGGTGTACAAGATCAGGGTAGTAATATTTTTTAAAAATATGTTATTATTTAATTATCAAATTTAGATGACCAAATTATTGTGGAAGCAATAATACCAAAGAAAATTGGTGAACTTTTTCTGCCACAACAAGGAACTGGAAGGTATATCACTCTAAACTTCAATTTCAAAGTAATTGGATGTTATCCCAAGATAAAATGTGGTATATTAAAAGAGATTTTCACAACCGATCATATTGTGGGTGATGGGAACTGTTTTTTTAGGTTAGTATCTTTATATAATATTTAGTTGTTTACCATGTTTATAGGTGTATAAGTCAAGAGATATCAAATAGCCAGGAAAATTATAATTACCTGGGGGAGGAATGCGTTCTTTTTATGAGGAGACGAAGATTTCAAATTGGAAATGGGAAAATTTATAGGATATCCTGTAGAGGAATACCTAGTTAACAAATGTTATGGGAAAGGGTGTCTAAGCAACAGATATAGAAATATTATCTATTGCCACATTGTTTCAGACAAATATATTAATCTATACCCAATATAAGTGGGCTTATTATTCGCCCGTGAGATTTTTTATTAATATTAAAATATTTATTTATGCAATGTAAATAACAATCATTTTTTTAGAATTGTATCAATGTGATTATCGATTTTAATATTTTTATTCCATTATATTTATTGCAATTTAGTTGAAAGATGATAATCGGTAAGTATCTTTTTGTTATATTGTACTCTATATTTTTATTAATAGTATTTTTATAAAAAGTACAATAGTTTGACATCCTTTTTATTAGTTGGATTCTATTCAATTGCTAATTTAAATTATATATATTGCATTTTATATATTTTTTAATACTTCATCTTTTTCTTAAGTGTTATTCAATTGCGAATTTATACAATATATTTATTGCATTTTATATTTTTTATGTTTTTTTTATAAAAAAACAATAGTTAGCCATCTTTTTGATGAGTTAAGTCCTATTCAATTGCTAATTTATATTATATAGCTTTTTATATTTTTTATTAATAGATATTTTTATAAAAAGTACGATATTGAATCATTTGATGAATGATATGTAATTTATGTTTAAATATGAATAACTTAACCTACCATGTGTATATAGATTTCAATCAAACTTTTTTAAAATTAAGCTATGACGTTTTCGACGTTAAATTATTTATAGGTATATCAGAAATTAAAATATTATCTATCTCATAAATTTAAATATTAGAAAATTTTAATTATTTATCACTCATAAGAGTCAATATGCTAAACATATAAACTTTAAGCATCACCTGTCAGTCATAAGTGTTATTATTGCAATATATAAACTTTTAACATTGCATGTAAGTCATATATGTCAGTATTACTAAATAATAGAAACTTTTTAACATTACATGTCAGTCATTAATGTCAATATTATTAAATAATAGAAATTTTTAACATTATGTGTCAGTCATAAATGTCAGTATTACTAAATAATAGAAACTTTTAACATTATGTGTCAGTCATAAATGTCAGTATTACTAAATAATAGAAACTTTTAACATATCATGTCAATCATAAATGTCAGTATTACTAAATAATAGAAACTTTAAACATATCATGTCAGTCATAAATGTCAGTATTACTAAATAATAGAAACTTTTAACATTACATGTCAGTCATAAATGTCAGTATTACTAAATTATATAATGATATTTTAATAAAATATTATTATAACGTCAATCATAATAAAATATCACACTAAATTTTATAATGTTATTTTATTATAACGTCAATCATAAATGTCAGTATTACTAAAGGGAGTTAATTTAAATTTAAGTTAAAATATCACGTTACACCGGTGTAGGATTGTGAAAGCAATACCCATTGTAGTTTCAATACCGTATTGATATTATCATTGTAGATTCAATACCGTATTGTTTTTACAATATTGTAGAATCAATACCGTATTGGTTTTAAAATACGTTTTCATCGCTTCAAATATATTGGCGGCCATTAAAATTGTAAAATATTTATTATTATACATTTAATTATCGCTTCAAATATGTTGGCGGCCATTAAAATTGTAAAATATTTATTATTATACATTTAATTTTCGCTTCAAATATGTTGGAGGCCATTAAAATTGTAAAATATTTATTATTATATATTCTTTTCATCGCTTCAAAAATATTGGCGGCCATTTTCGATTTGTAAAATATTTATTTTAAATAGATTTAACTTTTTTGAAATTTTTTGAATTACATAGATTAAAATATATATTGTAAACATGTTAAATTAATTTCAGTGAAGATGTACCAAAAGTGACAATTGTCATATTGTAAAATATTTATTTTTTAATCGCGTCAAAAATATTGACGGCCATTTTAGATTTGTAAAAAATCTATTTTATATATTTAATAGTTAAAATATATTTAAATGATTTTCTATTCTTTTATATAATTTTTTTAAGGAATTTATATTTTACTATTCTTTATATCCTGTATATTTTTATTTTTTTACTCATATTTATTAATTTTCTCCTTATGGTTAAAATGATATTGTTTGTTCAACTCCATCCTGTAGAAAATTGTAATTAAGAACAATGTACACAAATTTTCTTCATTTACCATCTTATTATTGGGATCAAGCCTTAAAATTTTAATAAACAAGCTTAAGCTAATCACAGATATGAGGGTTTCTATTACAACAAAGGATCTCAATCATTATCTCTATCACTATTATTATGCGATCATTGCCTGTTGGCTCATCTTAAAATCTTCATTCCTATCTCAAGCCTTAAAATTTTAATAGACAAAAGCTAAATTAAGTCAAAGCATCTCAATAAATATCTATTACTGAAATATGTTTTAATCATTTCCTGTTGGCTTCTTAATCGTCATTTCATTTTTTAGATGCATATATAATTTTATTTCTATCTGATTAAAATTACATTTATATTTATGGAACACAAAATATTTTATAAAATCAAATTATGTTTTATATTATTCTTTTAAACTGTAATAACTATTTTTAGTTGTATATATATTTTTTATTGCAATAAAAGACTGATTTCTTAATACTATATAAATAAAAAGGATATATCATTTTATTTCAAAAATACAAGAAAAATATTATAAAAAGAAAATATATCCCAATAACTGAAACATGATTATTACAAATTGAGTATATATTATATTATAACACGATTAAAATGATCAGAAGTCGCATTTATTAAATATATATTTAAATTAAAATTTTTTATACAGTTATTTTTTAATAATGAGGAGTATGTAATGTATTTCATCTCATTTCCATTTTTGCAATATATAATGATAGGTGTTTGAAAAAATGTGGCAGATGCTACAATATCTAGTTCATCTGCCCACGTTCCAAGTTGATATTTTTTTGTATCAACTATATGTGTGATTATATCTTTTCCAATAAAATCACTAAAAATATCTTTATTTTCAAAATGCATCATATAAGAGGTAATAGACCCCCTTATAATTGCATGGTGATCTTCACTCCCTGAGATTTCTTTGCTTAAGCACCGATAAAAACAATTACCGTCACCAAGAACTATCTCAAAATTAGGAGGATAACTTAAATTTTTAGTTTTATCATTGCTTTCTGTTAATAAAGAATATGGGATGCCCAACCTCTTAGCATGATATTTCTTCCATGCATAATTGGTGGCAAGGTAAGGTAACGGAGAAGTATCAGGCTCCTTATATAATATTATCTTAATATCGGTAGAATCTTCTTTTGCCTCATCTCCGTTATTAGATTGTTGGATGTACAGCTTAAGGTTACACCCGTTATATTTTTGCTTTAATGGAGTATTATCTTTATTACTCACACTATAAATATCTTTATCATGTATTTTATCAATTACATATGGACCAAGCCAAAGATCAGACATTTTTCCACCCTTTCGATCCGCACGACGGGAGTTCCAGATTAGGACCAGTTGTCCAACTTCATACGATATTTTATCCTTTTGCCTTTTTTGATAATCTCTTTTTTGTCTATCTTGGGCAACAATTATATTTTCTTTCGCCTTTTTCCATACGACTGACATGCTCATTATTCTATTTAACAATTCACTCTCGTCAAAGTCATTATCAATATTATTTACATAAGAGTTTTCAGGATCATTATTTATTTCCTTAACAATATCAGGCTTAGTTGTGGAATTTAAGTCTGATGGAAGCTTTGCATTCCGACCATATAACATATAAAATGGGGTAAATCCTGTTGATTTGTGTACACTTGTTCTCATTGCAAACAGTACACCTGGAAGAACTTTAGGCCACTGGGTCTGATCATTTCCTAAAACCTTTAACATTAGGTTTTGAATAGTGCGATTATTTCTCTCAGTTAAGCCATTAGCTTGAGGATGGTACGCACTGCAAATGCGTTGCTCTGTCCCGGTCATTTTATGCAGTCTAGTAGCCATCTCATTTACAAACTCTCTTCCTTGATCATTGATTTGTATCTATATTGTATAAAATGAAAAGTTTATAAGATAGAATTATCATAAATTCATATTTTTTAATCGATATGTATTTATATAATTTGATTTACATTTGCACAGCCATGGCGGCAAATCAGACCGTATATAAATTTACATGTCTCATTGGCTGTTTTGGATTTCATGGGTTCTGCCTCAACCCATTTTGTGAAATAATCAGAGGCAACGGCAATACACGTGTAGCCTTCTTCTGAAGTGGGCAGGCTGCAAAGATCAATTCCTATTTGAGCCCATGGAAAAGGTGGTACATCTATTGGATGCAAAGTGGAAGAAATTTTGGTAAATCTTACATTAGCCTTCTGACATCTATCACATGATTTTATAAAATCAATAGTGTCTTGAAATAATTTTGGCCACCAATATCTATAAACACAAAATTAAGAATTCTAACATCATAATAAGTACCTTTCAGAGAGTTTAAGTTGAGTTTTATTAATACCTAGGTGGGCACCAATAGCTTTAGACTCTAAGGATATATCTGATCCTTGGTGAATAATAGATATTACTCTTTGTTTCTCTTCTTCTTCCATTATTACTAAAGCTAAAAAATAAATAGAAAATGATTATTTTGTGATCATATTTACTTTCTTTATTCTTTATTTTTCTGTAAAGAACATCATCTTTAACAATAAATTTGCTTGCCATGCATTTATAATTACTTTTTTTCCCTGGATGGTTTTTAAGAAATATAGGATACTTTCCTGTAACTAAATATTCCTTTATTGTATTATATTTTTCTGTTAATGCTTGATATAAATGTATAATTATAATTTAAATGTACCTATTTGATTCATGAAAAATTTTGTGAAGTTCTCTATAATTGTTGATTTAAAGGTTCTTTTATTGATACTGTATTCTTTTTATAAATATAAAATAATAATTTAAATGTACTAATTTGTTCTCCTGTATCTATATTAATTGATATAAATTTATAATTATAATTTAAATATACTAATTTGTTCTCCTGTGTTTCTATATAAGTAATAATTTGTAAACTCTATTTTAGTAT